TGGTAAATGTTCATTTTAAATGCAGGCCTATCACATAAATAAAAGGATTGATTGATGAGTTTAAGTACTGAAAAAGAAAGAACAAAGAGATAGTCAAATAGAAAAAAGATACTAGTATAGTCTGAACTGGAATACTATTCAGTAATTAGGTTATATCTGAAGCCGTAGATCTTGGATTAAGGTCTTCTTTATATGGATGGAAAGGTAAGACATAGGCCTACAACTTTCATATGGAGTCCAAGATTTAAAAAGACGGATTTCAAGTCCAAATTGTAGCAACAACAAAAAAATCTGAATGCCTAACAATATTTACAAGTATTAGCATTATTTGAATAAGATAACTAATGTAGTTATGTTAATAATTTATAATCTGATTAGATCCTCCTTTGTGTGTGGTTTTCAATTCAATAATAAGAGTTTATACTATACTTGTTTGAAATACTGTTAGTGAATCCTCTAACCTTGACATTTATTATTATCATCGTTTAATCCTCATATTAATCTTCCATCTCAAAGTTCTCATCAACTTTTCTTCTTCTTCTTTTATTGTTATTATTATTATTATTATTATTACTACTACTACTAGTATTGTTGTTGTTGATGTGTTATTATTATTTATAATTTATATAATTAACCTCCTTGTGGTTCAACCCTAATCTTGTCAGGTTATCTATTACTTCGCCACTCCCACACTTGAGAGAAGACATCAATATTTTGGTCTTGTCATTGTACATACCTCCACTAGATGTATAAGGTTAAGTTTCACTAGTGCCTCATAAGTATCTATAGTGTCCTAATTTTGAGCATTTCAACTAACAAATCTTACTTTATTGCTTCATTAGGGTCTTTATCTTCAAAAGTTCCATTGCACATCAATTCCACCATTTACCTATCTTTAGGTGTTAACCCTTCATAAAAATGTGAAGCTAATTTCCATATTTTAAAACAATGATGAGGGCAAGTATTAAGCTAGACTCGATACCTATCCTAACATTGATAAAATGTTTCTCCTGGTTTTTGAGTGAAAGTGGTGATTTGCCTTTTGAAAGAGTTTGTTCTATGAGAAGGGAAAAACTTCTTTAAAAACTATTGTTGCATTTCATACCAAGCACAAATGAAACATGGTCCTAAATTTTGTAACTATGTTTTAGCTTTATCTTTTAAAGAAAAAGAAAAAAACTTTAATCTGACGGTGTTCATGCTACAATTTGATTTATTATAGTTGTCATAGACCTTTTCAAATTCTCTTAAATATAAGTATGGATTTTCTAAATTTAAGCCATGAAAATAAGGTTAAAGTCGAATAATGTTAGGTTTAAAATTAAAATGAGATGCATCAAGAGGGAAACTATGCATGAGGGTGCACTTGTTCTTATGGGATTCATGTGGTCTCTAAGTGTTCTAACATGATTATTCTCATTATTCTCATTATGAAGCGACTGGTTACTTTCTTTAGCTATATTTTCTGAAAATGATGAAGATACCCTACAAAGTCTATCACTTAATGTATGTTACTAAAATCTCATACACGCGTAGAAAGAGAATAAAAGGAAGAAGAAAACAAAAGAAAAAGAAACAAAACAAGAGAAACAAAGTTAGATACAAGAAAAGTAAAAAGTAAAAATAAAATAAATAGTATAATTTATACATGAATTTACCTTCCCAGCAACAGTGCCAAGAACTTAACACGACCACAAGATTGATATCTTTTTCCAAGTGCAAAAGTATCGAAGTAATAAATAACCCAATAAGACCGGGATCGAACCACAGGGAGGTTAAATTATAATTAATAATAATAACAATAATAAGTTAAAGAGGACTTTAAGACTGTAATATTAATGTGAGGATTAAATAATGATAAAAATAATTGTCAAGGTTAAAGGATCCACTAATGGTATTTCAAACAAATATAGTATAAAATCTTGTTACTCAACTGAAAATCACATACAAAGGAGGTTCCAATTGGATTATAAATTGTTAATATGATTACATTATTTATCTTATTCAAATAATGTTAATACTTGTAAATGTTGTCAGTTATTCATGATTATAACTTATGTTAACAATAAATCAAGTTCCTTTCATAGCACAGGTGTAGGTTATACCATATAGTTGGGCTATGAAAGTGTCGAGTATTTGTTGTATCAAGTGTTATACAAAATAAATATAGATTAACCATTTAACAAGCAAAGTATTAAAAGTGAATAAGATAACAAATACAAAACACGTTAGTATCAAACATTAAAGTCCATATTGAGTTTACACTATACTTATTCTTACACCATTAGTGTAACCTTTTCACCTTGACATAATAAACTTAGCTAAACATATTAAAAAAGAGAAACATAATAGATAAATAAAATAAGAACATAAATAAGATAAAAGTTATTAAGTAAAGGAAAGAAAATGAGAAGTATAAATAAGAGATTAATATACGCAAAAATTAAACATTACAATAATCTTGATCTTAAAACCAAGATGCCTAAATGCATGACAAATGCCTTTTTTTATAGGCCAAAATTGAGAACTATTGATTTGATAAATAATTGTTGAATGGGTGACCAACTCTTGACTTGATAACAACTCTTATCTTCTTGTTTACTAAAAATATCATTGTTAACATCAGAATTTGAATAAACTTGATTTCTAGAAAAAAAAAAAAATTGAGCTCATTTAGATTTCTAAAACTCAAGATATGGACTCAACTCTAAACAATGTCTAGGCTACAAGAAAGATTTAAACTTCTTTATTATTGCTAAGATTTGGACTTTCAAACTGCAGAATTGAGTCTCGCATTCCTCATAAATATTTTAGGCCTATGTCTTTGCTTTCCATCCATATAAAGCATACCTAAATCTAAAATCTCAAACTCCAGATATAACTCAATAACTGAACAGTATTTCAGTTTGAGTTGAACCAACATCTCTTTTTAAAGTTTGGTCATCTCTTTATCCTTTTAATTTCAGTACTTAAACTCATCAATTAATTCTTTTATTTAAGTAATAGGCCTACATTTAAAATGAATATTTACTATAAATTAAAAATATCTTATAGTATAAGACTTGTTATTATATAATACATTTTAGTGAGTAATTAATACTTCAAGTACAAAATAATAATATAAAACCAATATATTTTTAAATATTAAACAAAGATGCTACTAATATAGGATCTTCATAACCATTTGGCCCATATTGCTTTCAAATTTTATAGCATTGAAAGCAAATTTTATAGCATTGAAAGCACTGAGCTTCCTTGATCCTTGAGTGGGATTCCAGTTTGCAGGGAGCAACTGCTACCTATTGATTATCCTAATGCCTTGAAGTGAGGTTGTTATGGATCTAAAGCTCATTCTGAATAGCACATCGCACTGAACTCCTAATCAATGACACAAAGGATTGGTAGCATTAAAATATTCCATTTTGCTTCGTATCTGATCTTCGGTGAAAAGATGTAGTGAAGCATTTTTTTTCTTGTGGAACTGCATGAGAAGGAGTAACTAGTCTAACCAATTGCTCGTACAAAAGCTACACATAGCCTATGATCCAAGCATAGACCTGAACTTGAACTCGAAAATCTTTGTTACTAACATTTGTTTTCTTGCTAATATAGTTAATTGTTAACAAGTAAAAGGACATCAAAACTTGACACTGGACTTCTGTCTGTAGGGGCGAAATTTTCTGAGAAAGACTTTATCCTGTGCAATTGAAAAGTTATGCTGCTAAATATCCATCTGCAGTGCAAATTACGCTCCAACAGCCATTTCCACATCTATAACTGCATCCTGTCCCTTGAAAACAAGGCGTAATTTTCTCAGACATGAAGTTTTCTTGTCATCCTTGCTTGTTGTACCAGTCACGAGAACAATGTCCTTTGAAACATTACCCATAAGCTCAAAAAGTGGTAAGCCTAGGTTCGATCGAGTCATCTCCTCCAGAACTGGAGGCGCTTGCATGTACAAATTCATTGTTTGGTGTCTAACACTAGCTTTTGACAGGAGAAGCTTAGGATGTTCTTCAAGCATGTCAATAAACTGTTCACACAAAAACCAATAAATGTAAAAACAAATAAACTGATTATACAAAACCAACCAAAATAAGCAGCATAAACTTGTGTTCATTAAAGGAAATCTTCTTCTATTTCCTAGATAAAAAGGATAAACCCAGAGAGTGAACTAGTTTGATTATCTGAGAATTTGAAACTTACAATTAATATGTGGGTGACATAGCAAGAAAATATTTTAGAAACCAGGTCTGATGTTATCAACAAACTAAAAGGAATAGCAGCCATGAGAAGAAGAAATTAACCTTTTGTAAAGTAACTGAAGTGTCCAGCTCAATAAGAACACCTGGACCACAAACAAGACAATCCTTGTCCCTCATAAATTCAGTCACTTTGATGTGTAGACCTTCCACGCCATTATACCTAAAGAAGATTCATATCATTCAGCACACGCTTTCAGCTGGATTGTAAATAAAAAAGTTTTTCCATAAAAAGATATTTATACCCTGTTTTTTTTATCAGATTTCAAAAGCAACATACATAGCTTCACCAAATTCAAACACATACATGATATCACAAGAGACAATTATGGTTCCCACATCCACCTATCATTTGTGGTAAGGTTAAATTCTTTCAGATGGCAAAAACAAGGTTTGATCATGTAAAAGAATTAGACATTGAAGAAAAAGTTGTGCATCATAACAAAAAATGAGAGGGCAAGATTAAGTCTATTTGTGATTGTTAGGTGATATATAATATATGCTTCTACCAACATATGAGAACGAGATGAAATTTCACTCACGACAGATAGTTGCTTAGAGTTTTGCTGCATCCCGAGGCAAGCTTTAAGGTTTCCAAAGTACATGCAGCTGATATAATTGCATTGGTAGAAGCAATCGCTGGTATGATGTTTTTCACAACACCCTGTAAACAAAGAAAGAACTACCTCTATCACAAAATAATAATAATAATAATAATAATTAAAAAAAACAAAAAACAAAAAAGGAAGGGGAAAAAAGAAAGAAAAAGAAAAAAAACAGCACAACAAATAGGTGAAGCCAATAACATGTGACACTTCAATAAGGTATTTTGTAAGAGTTTCCTACAAAAGGTTTTAGATAGGGAAAAAAAGGAGCATATCAAGAAAAGATGCATCCAAATAACAAAGAGACAATTTTTAGGGTAACAATGAAGTTGAGTTTTATGATGTCCTTTGGTATACTCTAAAAGAACAGAAGCCAGACCACACAATGATCGGGCAGTTACTTACAGAAATTGACTCCACATAATTTTAAAGTACCTGAGTAAGAGAATATGTAACACCTTGAATACCAAAAAGTTCAGCCCTCTTGACAGCCTGTGGAACATGGGAAGAGCATAAGTTAAAAAGACTAACCTTGAAACTCAGCTTTTACAAAATAAATAAATAATACTGTTCAGAATATTTCACCTCGGTGTAAACCCATTTCATATGTTCTGGATCATCTGGATCAAAAGTCTTTCCACTATGAACCTAGAATATAATGGTCATATGATAATAGCTATCAACTCAAATTGTCAAGTCAAGAATGAGAAAGCATTGATGATGCATTACCTCATCCCATTTAATTAAGTGAGCATATTCAATACAATGAGCAGCAGTTCTAGGGGTTTCTGCAAGGGTGCATAGAGGAAACTTCACTTGAGGAGGGAAAAGCCAGATAGTACACTCAAAGCACGGTGTGGATCCTGGTATTATAACCCTAGCATGCCCCTTGAAACCTTCAGTCCCACCATCTACCATCGGTTTGACTGTTTCTTCTAGTGGATTGTTATCAGAATCATATTCTAATCACCAAGAAAAGCAATAGACAAAACATGAGATCAACAAGAATAAAGACACTTCCAGCAAAGAGCTTTTATGAATCTCAAGAGCACAGGATAACATTTTATGCTAGCATATTAAATACAAACTCAATACTCTGCATACAGCTAGAGAGCATTTAAGCTTATTGGGCAAACTATAAAGGTCCCGTAAAATATCTGGCAAAGACAGGTGAAGATCTGCAGGCACTGCTCCCACATATACAAGACAGTATGTCAAATCTGCGATGCCTGAAGTAGCTCATAACCATAGCTAGCAGACCCTCAAAGCTTATGCAACTTCAGCACTGAAGTCTTGTCATCCAATCATATAAAGAAATGGCATACAATATTATGACATTTAAAGCTGCATGCCACGTGTGAGGCACTCGTTATATACAACCCTTGTGACTTGAGGCTTAACTTGTCTCTGGAATGCATGCCTAACACAAATAAATTCAAAGTAAGCATGGCATCCCTGATGTTATGTTGCTAGGGTGTAAAAAACAGGCCTTACAGTCAGTCAGAAGGAAAAGTTCAGTCCCCAGTCTCACTTTTAAAAGCATAACCACTGACAGAGGGTACACATTATTTCCTTAAGGAAGTGTCTCTCCCAAGTCCTGATCACAAAACTACATCCAAAGTGTTTCAGTATTTTAGTTGGTATTGGTATCAGGTACTTTCAATAGGGATTTTCATAGTTATTACTTCTTCTTTCATTCATATATATAAAAAATGCCCTAATTTTTTTAGAAATTTTTCCAGCAACAAGTGAGGGCAATAACAGGTCGCAAAATATATGGAGAAGAATCCAAAAGAAAATTAAGGATACAATGCTCTTTGACAAAATGATAAATGGAAAGGAAATACGCAATTAACTTGGCAAAAAAAATCATGGACAGAGGTAAAAAGTTAAATATTCAAACATAAAATGAAAGGAAGAAAAATAACTACTTGACTGAAAAACGAGCTCTCTAAATCAGCTATTCTTAGAATAAAAACTAAAGAGGTTAAAAAGCACGCACCAAGAAAACCACAAGCTACAGCATTTATATAGCTCCGAGCCTCAACAGAATCAAGACCAAGCACAATAATACTAAAATCTTTATAAAAATCAATTTCTTTATCCTCGATTCGGCAAAAATGAGGCACAATATTCACGCCACTAACTCTTTCCATCACCCGCTTGGCTGCCACCTCAGCCTTAGGCTTCCCAACATCTTCGAGCCTACAATAAGAACATTATATCATGAGTGACTTTCCAATCAGAACTAAAGAGCTATGACAATGTTGAAACATCAAAGCAGATAAGTTACACTTTCTGTTATGTCAAGGTGTATAATAACTGAAAACACTAATACTTGCAAACAAGGAAAGGAAAAAATATGCACTTAATAATACACATAGATCTAGTCATATTTGATACAAACAATGAAGCACCTGCTTGATAGTCCGTACTGGTCCTGAGAAAATTAAGAATTACCAACAGTTTCTTAAAAGTAGTCCTTTATTCACATGCTAGGTTATCACTAGTCCACACTAAAGGTACTACTTTTCCTTAGCCTTCTTGCAAGTTGAATTTTTATTTATCAATTATCATCCAACCAGCCATATTTCTCCCTTGAAACAGATTTACCTAAATGCACTTATACCTAAATTAGGCCCCCAGTTTAAGTAATAACCCTTCGACTAGGTTTCACATTGTTTCTTTTCTCTTCGCAGTTGATATAGGAAAAAAAATACTTCAAAGTGCAATTAAACCGACAACCCACGAAAGGGCATATACCAATTAAAACAGCCACGAATTGAACAGAGAAAAGAAAAGGTAAGAGCGCATAGACACGTGGGTTAAGCATGAGAAGGCAAGAACCTGAAAAGAAACTGGCGATTGAGATTAGTAACCTCGATACGGTCCATATCAATGACTTCAAGATTTTTAAAACCTGATAAAGCTAGGTCCTTTAGCAGCTCACAACCCAAACCACCGGCCCCAATTACCAATAATCTTGCATACTCTTGAAGATCATCTCTCAACTACAACATTTAAAACAAAATAAATAGTTAAAAAAAAAAGATTGCACGCCGGGAGTTTGTTAAAATTTCCAAGAACGAAAGAGCTTACTTGAACACCAGATTCGAAGGTGGGAGCAACGAGATTGCCGGGTCTGAGAAGTAACTTGTCTAGGTCTCTCGATCGGCTCTGTTGGACTGTAGAGCCTGCCATGTCAATCTAATCTCTGTCTACGAGGCTGCAGACCCCCAAGGTCGATACAAGAAATTCCACCGATTTTAATAGCTAGTTTTTGAGGAGGCAAGTCGCTAAGGACCTACCAAGCTTTATTTTGACGCTTGGGGTGGTGCGGGAAAGTTTAAGCGTATTTGGGATTATGATTGGTTATATATAATATATTTATATATGTATTTTAAATTAATTTTTTTAATATATTTTATAATTATTTTAATATGTTTATATTAAAACTAATTTAAAAAAATATTATTTTAATATATTTATAAGTGAAAAATATTTTAAAAAATAATTTCTACTATAATTTAATTTAATGATCATTGAATTTAATTAGGCATAAGACACCTATAAATTATTATATTGTTTAACTGATTTTGTTCATCAAAATAGTTAAAATTGGTTTTAATAAATTTTATTTAATAAAAATAATTTTAAAATGGCTATTTAGAACCTTAATAATACCTAAAAAATATTAAAGTCGAGGAAGAAAAACTTTACCTAGTTTGATTTTGTAATTTTTTATTTATTTATTAGGTTAGTAAATTAGTTTTTAGATACTTTTAGAGGATTTTTTAAGGTATTTTTAAATTAAAATAATGAAAAATGAGTTTTTAGGATAAAAAATATATTGCCTTGATTTTTTAGCCATCATAATAGTGGTAAAGATATAGGTAAATAAATAATATAGTGTCTATCTTAATAAACAATATGTTATCTAATTACTTTTTTAAGGAAAAAAAAAGGGTGGAAGACATCATCTTCCCTTTAAAAAGATTAAAAAAAAAGGTCGAGATCTTTGGCCCTAGACTTTTTTTTTTATGCCCACATGCACTAGAGCACTAAGCCTATATTATCTAGGCTTTTTTTTTTTGTTATTTTGTATTTAAATAAAAATAAATTTAAGAAAAAATATGTTTTGAACATTATTGAGTTTATAATTCAGATTGCATGTTTGATAGATTAAGTCACAACGTCCATGTGAAAATGTATTTTTTTAATTATTGTTTAATGCATTTTTTGTCCTTAATTTAAAAAATAATAATTTCATCGTTTGTTATCAATTATCTTTTTATTTAAATTTAATGAAAGAAAATATAATTTAACTTTTTGTTATCAATTATCTATTTATTTGAACTTAAAATAAAAAATATTTTTTTATATATTTAGCTTAAAACAATTAGGCTTGATTTTGCTATCTCAAACTCGAGCATAACCCAATTATTTTTTCATTTAAAAAACTATTTCATACAAAAAGATTCGTATGTGCTTTATTGTTATATAATTAAATAAGAATTAACATTTAGTATTAAAAAAAAAATTGAATCCAATGACATGCATGGCTTAAATCATAAGCTTGATTAATTAAATAAAAAATAATTGTAAGTTGACATACATATAAAAAAAAAGGAGGATGCAAAAATTCTAAGGGTCATATCCTAGATTTACAATATAATCAAAACATATAAAACCAAATAACCACGATAAGGTCATTAAACTAGAAATCATTCAAAGTCAATCTAGCTAGTACATTACATAACTAATAAAAACACACTAAAAATCTGCTTCAGAATCTTTGTTATTCAACTTCCAAACTCTATCAATCCTAATATTTTCTTAGCTTGGTGGGATATTTCTCACCAAACTAAGCTTGCCATGAATGATCCTTTAATTTAATTGAAAACATAATTTAGGCACCTAGATTTACCAATAAAGATCCTTGTATTCTCTTCCTATTAAATAAAATAAACTATAGCTACAAAGCCTGATTTATAAATCAATTTACTAAAGTTCTACCTTTCCAAATGAGAGTAGCTCATTTAATCCAATCATTATAGCCTTTTCTCATTCTAGGAATGTCATATCTATCACATACTTTCCACCATATCTCTTCATAATGTGAGTGTAATCAAAGAACAAGTGGTTATGATCTTCATTGTCTTGTAAACAAAAAGAGCAATAGTTTGGACCATAAAAACCAAATCATTGCAATTTGTCCTGAGTTGTAAGTTTTTGTTGGATAGTTAGTCATAAAAAAAATGATTGTCTTAGAATAGCATTCTCTAACCACATAATATCATGACATTCAACCTCCTTCCTCCTTCCTGTTTCTTGGTTCTTGAGTTGCTTGTAAGCTATTTTGACTAAGAACTTATTATTTAGGGAATCCGACCAAACAATCTCATCCCTTTTACTTACATTTAGTTTAACATTAGAAGGAATAACATTTATAATGGAGTATTGACATGACCAAAAGATTGATGTCTTCTATTCTTGATGATGATGATGAATTTGAGATGTAAGATTAATGTAAGGATTAAAATAATTGTCAAAGTTAAAGGATCCACTAATTGTATTTCAAACAAGTATAGTATAAACTCTTTTTATTACTCAATTGGAAACCACATATAAAGGAAGTTTCACTCTTATTATAAATTATTAACATGATTACATTAGTTATCTTATTCGAATAATGCATGACACAACCAAAAATTGATGTCTTCTCCAAAGTGTAGGAGTGTCGATGTAATAAATAACCCAGCAAGACCAGGGTCGAACCATGGAGAGGTTAACTATATAAATTATAAATAACAATAATACAATAACAACAACAATTATAATAATAATAATAAAGAGAGTTTTGAGATGTGATATTGATATAAAGATTAAACAATGATAAAAATAATTGTCAAGATTAAAGGATCTATTAATAATATTTCAAACAAATATAGTATAAACTCTTAATACTCAACTAGAAATCACACATAAAGGAGGTTCCAATCGGATTATAAATTGTTAACATGATTACATTAGTTATCTTATTTGAATAATGCTAATACTTGTAAATGTTATCAGGTATTCATGATTATAACTTATGTTAATAACAAATCAAGTTCCTTTTTATAGTATAGGTGTCGGTTATACCATATGGTTTGGGCTATGAAAGTTCCAAGTATTTGTTATACCAAGGGTTATACAACATAAATCTAAATTAACCATTCAACAACAAATCAAATTCCTTTCATAACACCGATGTTGGTTATACCATATAGTTTGGGCTATAAAGGTGCCAAGTATTTATTGTATCAAGGGTTATACAACATAAATCTAGATTAATCATTTAATAAGAAAAGCATTAAAAGTGAACAAAATAACAAATATAAAACATGTTAGTATCAAACATTAAGGTCTCTATTGAGTTTATATTATACTTATTCTTACACCATTGATATAACTTTTTCACCTTGATATAATGAACTTAACTAAGGCATAATAAAAAAAAAAACATAAATAAACAAGATAAGAACATATAAGTTAACTAAGTAAAGGAAAGGAAATGAAAAGCATAAATAAGAAATTAATAAAAGCAAAACTTAAACATTATAAAAATATAAAGAAATAGAGCAAAAACATAATCTTGATTTGAAAAATAAGATGCATAAATGCATGACAAATGCCTTCTTTTATAGGCCAAAATTAAGAACTATTATTTTGTAGACTAATTGTCGAGTGGGTGGCCACATTTTGACTTAGTGACAATCCTTATCTTCTTGTCTGAACAAAACGTCATTTCTAACATCAGAATTTAGACAAACTTAAATCATGAAAGTTCCAAGAAATTATCTCGGCTTTCCAATAAAAAAACAATTGAGGTCATTTGAACTTTTAAAACTCGAGATATGGGTTAAAAACTGAACAGTGTCTAGGTTATAGGATAAATTCAGACTTCTCTATTGTTGCTAAGATTCGGACTACCAAACAGTAGAATTGAGTCTTGCATTCCTCATGAATGTTTTAAGGCCAATGTCTTAACTTTCTATCCATATAAAGCAGACCTAAATCGAAGTTCTACAGCTCCAAATATAACCCAATGAATGAACAATGTTTCAGTTTGGACTAAACCAACATCTTTTTTCTAAGCTTCACTCTTTTTTTCTCTTCTCAGTTTAAGTAGTTTAACTCATCAATCAATCCTTTGATTTATGTGATAGGTCTGCATTTAAGATGAATATTTACCATATATTAAAGGTATCTTATAGTATCATACTTGTTATTATAAAACATATTTTAGTTAAGAAGTTATTAATACTTTAAGTGCAAAATACTGATATAAAACCTTGATAAAAATACACATTTAAGTACTAATCACACCGCCAACTAACTTATTATTAGTCCCTAGTCATCAAAGCGTTAAAATAGAAAAATAATTTGCAAGTTCCTTAAAGTAAGGCATTCATTATTTGACTTCCATTAATCTATCCAAGTAAACAAACTCTCATTAAATTTATATATCTGCTTTATACTTCTTAAATAAGATATTAATAAACCTTCTTTTTATATGCTCAATGTATGAAAACATAGATGATGGGGCTTTTATTAGAAGAAAACAATATTATGTTATAATATTTAAAGTTAATTTCCTAGGTTTGAGATTATTACATTTATTTTCTTTTTTCTTTTTCTTTTATTTTATTATTATTATTATTATTTTTAATATATATACAAATAACATAATGCATCTTTAACCCATGCAACGAACTTTCGGCTAATGACTCTCAAACCAGTTGGTCTTATGGCATTAGATGTTGAGACACCTAAATGAGCTTATTAACTCGGGTTGCAGATACTAATATACAGATAGTGTAATATTTGAATCCCTTAAGCTTTTCTCATTAACCTATGTAACAAGTATTGCGCCAATAGCTCCCAAGTCAATTGACTTTAGGGTATTAGGTGTTAAAATACCCCTTCGAACTTAATTGTTTAGGTTAAGGAGGCAATGAAACCAAACTTATCTATGTTTTTATTTATTTTTTAATTACATTTATTATCATTTTTTTCTTCTTCTTTTTTTTTCAAATTATATACTATCCATTCCCCTTAGTTGTTACCTTTAACAAAAAAAAAATAATATAAATAATCCAATCTGCAATCCACAATCATATGTTAAAGTGTGCATGTGAAAATGAAGGTTTAATAATATTTATTAAATGAGTATATGAGCAAAATCAAGTGATAACAATGCGAGAATTGATAAATTTGAATATTTCATGAGAAGTGTGTGATAGACCTTGTTATAAATATTGCAAATAACCATTGAAAAATATTTACCAAGATGCATT